ATGGTTGTCAGCGTTACCACTTTTTGGATGGACCTAGGACTGTTTACTGTGATCAAGGAAACTGGACAGAGCAACCAAACTGCTTAGGTGAGTCTTGTAAGAATTTTGTCTTATAGAAATATAGAAATGGAAAACTGGAAAGAACCTCTAAATAATCTTTTCATTACTGCCTTTTTTCTTTTATTTGGGTTAAGAAAGATTCCAGAAATATAGGGATGAACCAAATCAAATATACTGAGATGTCTCCTGCTAGGTGTCCTCTGGCCTGTTCTTAAAACCCCCCTTTAAAATAGATTCCTCTGTTTTTTTTCTAGAACACAGCTAATCTTCCTGTTACCTTGGAGGATTCTCCAGCTTCTTTCTTCCATATTCTCCATTCAGTTCCTTTCTTTCTGTCTTTCAGTTTTGTTCAAAACAATGTCTAGAACTCCCACCAGAAATCTGCTAGTGCTATCAGGAATACTGTTTCTGGTGATATACAAGAGTCGTTTGTTTGTCTTTCCTTCCTTCCTGTAATGAAATAATTCTATTTTACTAATATCCTTTGTTAAATTGGCTCAGTTTTCAATTTGTAATCTACCGTGAAAATGAAAATAAACAACCAGTTCAGTTTTAATTACTTATTTTTAAATGAATAAAATTTACCTTGCCTAGATTGAAAGGTCCAGGTCAGCGGTTTTGATCTGAATACTCAAACTTAACAAATCCTGTGAAATAATGAAATCCCACGAGGCTTATTTTTCTCCTAAGCATCCAAATAACCACATCATCCTTTCTGTGTTTTCTGAGATTTCTTTTCAACCCTCACTTAATCAGACTAGGAAGAGTACACGCTGTAGTTAGGTTCAGGAAAATACCCATACGAATTTTTTTTTTCAGTGCAGTCACCAGACTGCCCAACAACTGAGTTCTCCCTGCCTTTTCCTCAGTAAAGCCTCAGTAAGAGCCTCCATCAGCCAGTGATTCTCATGGAACCTGTAGAAATTTATTTTGATAAGTGACCCTCTGTCAGGCTTGATTGGTTTCAGAAGTTAACGAGGTTAATCATCTAATGGGAAGCTGGACTCCCTGATGTGATCCTAGCACTAAGTTTTAAGAAACCTGTCAGAAAGTATCCAAAACAATATTGGCCTTGAATAATGTGAAAAAGCCCAAAGCAGAACACAAAACTTCCAAAATATTTTTGGAAGATTGCTGAATTCTTTCTTTTCATGGAGACAAAACAAATTAAAAGCAAAGAAAAGAGAATTGTCAAAACACTTCTTTAGGGTAGCATTGTAAACTTACTGTGTATTAAGTACTACTATCCTGAAAGGGCTTATCAAACCTGTCAGCCAAATATGACAGGTTAATTTTGGTGGATGACTCTTTTCATATAAAAAGTCCTTTCAAGTTACAGTAAAGCAGCTCTTTTTTTTTTACAGTGGTAAACCTATGCTGCCATATCTTTACAAAGGCATGTAAAATACAAATTTTGTCATAAGCTTATGTTTTCCGTGATTTACTGGTCCCAGTTCAGACTTCCTTTTGCATGTTTGTTTGGGGTTTTGTTGGTTGGTTGGTTGGTTGGTTGGGTTTTTTTTTCATTAAAATACACTTTTATTTCCTAGAACCATGCACTCTTAATGTAACTGATATGGACAGCAATAACATAAAGTTGAAATGGAGACAGGAAGAGTTAATTTTCCTACATGGAGATCTTATAGAGTTTGAATGTAAACAGGGATATAATTTTCTCCACACTACCATTCTGTCTCCTGGGAGGACACAGTGTGACCACGGCAGACTGAAATATCCAAAATGTGTTATGCAAGGTAAACCAGTAATTTTTGATTGCCTTCCTTTTTAATTAATCAGTCTTAAGTCTGTTTAGAAACAATTTGCTTTGGCAGTGCAGGCCTACAGTCTGTTATAAATGAATGTTTAGGTTTCAACAACACAGATATGCACAGATGATATCTTGCACAAGACAACTGTGTTGTTTAATACATCCAAACATGGAAAAATGATACACATTCCTGTGATGGGCAAGGCTGTGGAAAGAAGTGGGAAACTCTTCTCCAAGCCGAGAGGACTGAAAGCTTTGTAGAAAGACAGCTATAAAAAGAAATCCTTTGTGTGCCCCTAATTTATGATAAAGCTGGTGATTTGTTAGTTTCTTATGCTGAATGTTTCTCAATTGTTTTTTGCATTATTCCAGCTCCTACAGAAAAATGTGACTCTCCACCATCTATTGCAAATGGAGCTCTTACTCTCCCACCACTGACCCAGTATGACAGTGGTTCTTCAGTTCAATATAGCTGCTCTGACTATCATTTTTTGGAAGGATCTGAGAGAATCTACTGTTCTGAAGGGCAGTGGACTTTGCCACCAATTTGTATAGGTAAGTAAGTGTGATTAGATAAATCAGCTCCTATTTCTCTATATAATTCATAGGCAGAACATTTTAGAAGTGACCTGTAAAGGCCATCTCGTCCATCCCCCCTGCAAGGAGAGGGACGTCTTCAGCTGGATCAGGTTGCTCAGAGTCCTATCCAGCCTGACACTGAATGTTTCCATGGATGGTGAACTAGCTCTCTGGGAAAGATGATCCAGTGTTTCACCACCTTCATTGTAAAAATGCCTTCTTTATGTCTAGGCTGAATTTAGTTTAAAAGCACTACTTTCTGTCTTATTGCTACAGGCCCTACTAAAAAGTCCTGTCTTCATCTCTCTTCCTTTAGAGCCATGTACTTTGTCAAAAACTGAAATGGAGAAAAATAATGTGCTGCTGCAAGGCTTCTATGCAAATCAGGTTTACTTTTACCACGGGGATTATGTTGGATTTTACTGTAAAGAGAACCATTTTGGAGCAGAATCTGGTACAACTTTATTTCAAGTACAGTGTAAGAGAGGACAGCTGACATATCCGAGGTGCGTTGAAAGAGGAAAATAAGTCTGGACTCCAGGAAAGCCTACAGGAAAGGTGTGCGCATGTTCTTCTTCTACTGTTAGTAGCTGAATTAAGATGGCCCATATTTTCAAGATCACTACAGTCAGCATTGAGGAATGAGTGTTCAGTGTCATTGCTGGGTCTGAGGTGAAGGGGGAGGGAAGTGAAAGTGCTTTGTGCTGTGAGGATTAGCCTCGCAGCGGAAGGATGCAAGATTGGCATACATGTGGAAAATTGAGGATGAAGGAACTTTACAAGGCCTACAGTGCTCAACTTGGGGATGCATCACAATCTGTTGAGCCACAATAAGAAGACACTGAGCAAAGCAGTGCCCTTTGTGAGGATACTGATGGCACAAGCGATTTTCTGACTGCAGATCATGCCTAAATTAAGATTTAATTTCATGCCCTTCAAATGGATGTTCATCTGTACTTTTACAGTGAGAAAGGAGAGGCTTGTTACTTTGTACATCTTAACAGCACCCCATGTCTCCTTTCACAGGTAAGGAGCCTCTAAAGGACAAGGCTTGAGGAACAAGATAAACCAGAAAGTATTAAAAAAATTCTTTAAGGGATCTTTAAAGCCATTTAAAACATAATAATATGCAAATTTTACTGAGTAGTTAAAATAGTGTTTTAAGAATAATAATTAAGAAAAAATATCTAATCCAACTACTTTGTATGATTTCCTATGACACTTAAATATGGGTATCCTTAAGGCTCTGCCTATGAACATGTGTGACTGAAGAAATGAAGAAAATTCAGGAATGTGGAAAATGTTTGCCTTGCACCCATTTTAATTGGTTTTAATAAAATAAGCCACTCTAAGGGTTTCTTCTGTATTTTATTTTTTTTATGGAGACAAACTCCATCTGTCTGTGAAATCAGTGCATGAATGGTGTTCTGTATGGGTTTCCAAGGTTTTTGCAAGTGTTACATGAATAAATAAAACAAAAAGAAATTAAAACATTTGAGAAATAATAGAAAAATTCTACTTATTTAATCAAAACCCTGTATAGACTGTAATTTCTGTTTTCCAGTTATGTTCTCATTTCTGTGGTACATAACTGAGGAATCTGGTCTTGATATAAATTCATGGATCAGAGCAATTCCTGTAACAGTCCAAGTTTTGAGTGTTGGATGTGCTGCTTCAGACTGGCATGTTTTAACCGAGGTAAGCTTGTGTCCCAGTGAAGTTTCAACAACTTTTACTGGCTTTAAAATATTTCACGTAATGAAGTTGGTGGGCCCGATGACCAGACTCCTTTCCTTTGAGAAGCTCTAAATGACGCATAAAAATATTTGCCAAATGTAAGAATACCTTTCTCTTTAAAGAACAAGCCGGGCAAAAGAGAGGGAAAGGGATTAAAAGTCAGTTGCTGGAACATCTTTTGGAAGAAGATTGTTTACCCCTGCCTTCCACTTCCTCTGAATAGGCTGGATGTGCGTCTGTTAACAGAGGGCAGGATGAAGCAGACTGGAGACATGAAGACAGCATCTTGTTGCTGAAGTTAGAGAATGCTTTGAGTACTTTAGCTTTGTGAGGGGCTGCTGTCACTGAGTCACCTATCCCTTTTAGAAACACACCATATTTTTTGTATTTATTGTTTTAGTGTAGTAATAGAATATCTTCTTGCGACCCTTGATGTCCCTGCAAGTGTCACTAGGTCAGCTTCAGCTGGGGGTTATCCATAGGTTATGCCAAGTCAATGCCATGGGCAGCTCAGCCTATAGCCTGTTTTTGCCTTCAGCTCCTGTACACTGATTTCTTTTTCACTTTAGAGATCTATGTGAAGTCCCTGATTCATCAAGCCAGTCCTAGGGTGCATGATTTGTACTGTTACTTGCTTTCCTCTCTCCCCCTTGAGTCATGAACCCCATTAGTACACAGTTACCACAAGCACTTTGTCCTTGTTTGTGGAGAGCAGATAGAGTTGTGGGGTCCACTTACTTGCTCCTCCTGATTAGGAGTATCGTGAGTAGGATACTCACCTCAGCTGTGACCTCAGGGTAGGTTCCAGGCAAGCACATGGAGAAGGAAGTAGAAACAGACAAGGCCAAACACGTGCTGATAATCAAATTACCCATGAGCTTTAATTCTTGTCTCAGTATGTCACCAAAGCCAGCCTATTTCAGGACACAATTGTTAGTAAAAATAATAGTGGGATGGATAGAATGGATAAAATGCAAGCACAGCCATTTGGATGGACAAAATGTAAATACATTTACAAAAATTGATAAAATGTGGATAATAACACAAACACAATCATCCAATAATAAAAATAATATAACAAGGCAGAACACTGGCTAAGCTGCAAAAAAAGCACAGCAAAACGGGAAACACCAGGAAAACTTGAGCTCAAATCACTGGGTTGGCTGAGGGCTCTTTCATTTCCACAGCTGGCCTCCTTCATGCCATTTTCATTTATGGAGAAGACCCTGCAGTGTAAAGACAAAAAAGGGGAAAAGTCATGAATACCAATCCTGATGCACCACAGAGGCTCCTCAGAGCAGTGGACAAGCAATTTCATCGAAACTGCCTCCTGCAACCTGTGTCATCAGCACTGTGCACTTACGTCTACATGTAGGATATGTAATCACTCCATCCCGGCACCGTACTCTAAATTTCTCGGGTCTTGAAACTCGCTGGTACCCTGTTTTGCATTTAAATAAAATCTCATTCCCAGAGCGATAGGTGGAAGTTATTGATTGGCCTGGCTGTAGTTGAATATTGTTGCTTTCCATATGGTTCGTATCCACTATACAGTTGTCTGCAAAAAAAGGACTTTCATTATTTGCCTGTAGATCTCACACTGGACAATTGATGCTGTGAAACCGCCGTACCCTTTCCCCAGCAGTCTTTCCAGCTCAGGAATGCTGGTCAATGGCTTCTTGGGAGCACTGCCCCTCACTGCCTGCAGCTTACAACAGGTTTCTGCACTCTGGCTCATCCCCAAGCATTCCCCCAGGAAAGGGAAAGGCTTTTTGCTCCCCTTCAGCACTGAAAATGCAACAACAAAGCAGCTAAGCTGCGGCTGAAGAGGAGCTGACTTACTTCTCGGCCTGCATCGCGGGTAATCTATCACCCCCTCCACACACTTGGTTCTGTAGCGGGATTTCTCTTGCTCCTCCAAATATCCTGGTTTACACTGAAATTCAATAGTGTCACCTGATGTGGAATACAGCTTGGTACTTTCGGACCATCTCAGCTCAATATTGTTTCTGTCCATATCTTCTTTTGATGCTGTACAAGCCACTTGAAAAATTGAAGAGAAGAGTGTCAGCATTTCATACAGACACACCACAGGTAACTGTTTAGCCCCTAGAGCCTGCAGAAGTTCATTGTATAAAAAAATCCTTCCAGATATTTGCTCTCATCCTCTGTTACTTGCCACAAAAAAGACATTCACAACGAGCCTAAAAGGGAAAAAAGACCATGGCTGAGATGCCACAGAGAGCTATGGAGAAGCCTTTTCAGTCTGACTGTCACACAGCAAGAATGAGGCACAGGTGGGGAAGGCACCAGGCACCCATGAACTTGCCCATGTGTTTTTTGAGATCCCTCCTTCCCTTCTGCTCTATACCTCTCTAAATTTGTTTTCTCATGACCATGGCACAGATGCACCCCTGGATGTCCCCATAACTGTCATACACTCAGACCACTCCTCCTTGTTCAACAGTCCTCTGCCTGTAGCAGTGTCCCCAGCTTGGGGGCACTCAGGAGCTGTGCACAGAGATGGAGATCCCCTCACAGAGAGGGTTCAGCCAAACTCCTCTCCTTGCAGACCTCTTGGCAGCAGAAAGGACGACACAAGCTAACTTTCAGAGAAACTCTTTTGGGATAAAAGATGGACTCGCTGCTGTTCTGCCCTGCCAGCATCGCAGCCCCAGCACAAGTGTTGCCACGCAAGTGCTGCCCTCAGGGTCTGAAAAGAAGAAGAGATTAGCAGTCACACAGCCTTTGACCACCCAGCACATGGTTCAACCTACCTAGGCAAACAGGAGGGTCTGACCACTTGCCATCAGTACAAGTGATATATTTAGATCCTTCCAAGACATAGAAGTTTGGGCATTTGTATTCCAGAACTGCTTTTTGTTCATATTCTGACATGAGGGAGGAAAGAATCTCTCCGTTTTCAATACCTGAAGGTTTGCCACAATTCCCACCTCTTCCTGAAAGAAATTTACCAATCAGAGACAAAAACCACGAGAGTTTAACTGCAGTGGAGGTCTGGTCACAAATAGTATCCTACAGTATGCTGGTACTACTCTAACAGAACCAGAGGAAAGCAGAGAGAAAATCAAATACCTGGCAGGTGAAACAGAGCAAGAGTTTCTCATTTCTCCAGCTCTCAGGCTCACAACTGCCAGTTCACCCTGTTTGACCACCGCTGAAGTGCTTGCAGCTGTCTGCAGGACTTCATCTTGTCCTGCAGAACGGTGTGGCATTTGGCCCTCTTGAGTGAAGCCACCTGGGTCACTCTGCTGGAAAACTCATCTGAATAGATTCCTGGGAAAATGACTGTTTCCTGATTGTGCGATATACTTTGCAATTGTGGGTGATAAGGGTACTGAAATTTGGAAAAGTAAATGCCACTGAGTCAGCCTCATTACAGAATCTCTGACAGGCGACTGCATGGAGAGAGAGAGAGAGAGAAAGAGAGGGAGAGAAAAATTACCTTTGCACTTGGGCAGCTCTGTCCAGATCCCATTCTGGCACACTACTGTGGAAGTCCCAGTCATCTCAAAGCCTTGCCAGCACTCATAGTTAGCAGTCTCTCCAGGGAGATACCTTGACTTTTTCATATCAATTCTACCACCAGCTATTTCTGGAGGAGGTTTACATCTCGTATCTGAAGAGACATGGCTACAGTCTCCTTCGCAGTTGTTGAGATGCTCATCTGCACAACCAAAAGTTAAAGGAATCAACCTGGTTACAATTTCTGTACAGATTTTCTGTCTCCTGTGGGTCACAGGAGTTCACCATGGAGAAAGCAATGAGGTGTGACAGTGGCAGCAGAACATTATCTGGGACTCTCAGGAGATGGCAGGGGCAATAAGAATTTCCAGAAAAAGCCAATATTTCTGTAGCTACACTTAATGTAACAGAAGACACACCAGCCTTCCTGCATGCCCATGTCTCTCCCCAGGGAGCCCTGGCTTTCCGGGAAACCACTGAGTTAAGAGCCAAACTGACACTGTGCTGAACTGCAGAGCTCTGGAGGACTGGCAGCGCTGGAGGAGCTTGTCAGCCTGTGCTGCTCAGGGATGGGTGAGTGCAGCCAGCTCCAAGGAGGTGTGTGAAAGCCAAGTAGCACTTGTTCACCCTGCAGCCACAGATCTGGGCAGGGGACAGGACCACAGCTACTCGCCGTTCCTTGTCACAGGAACAATCTTTCCTGTTCCATGGCCCTAGAAGACCTTACGTGGTTTAGATCTGGGTCTCTGCTGGGATCTGCACTGGTCAGAGGGGAGCCCTGGGGAAGAACATTTGTTTCTCTTCCCTACTGCTGCCTCCATTCAGATGCTTCTTGACAGCTTTGAACAGAAGACAGAAGCCCTTACGTGTCTTTCCACTGAAGGCTGTTGAAATGGTGGACACTGGAGCAATACCAATAACATGCAGGAGAATGACAGTACAACACATTTTTGGCCCTGCTACTTCAAGATGGTTTTGCTGTTGATGAAAAATTTCCCAGTATTTCTAGAAGCATCAAGCTAAATTAAAGTGCTGTGCAAGCAAGCAATAGAAAGTACAAAGCTGGGGTACCCAAAGAAAACAGAAGTAGAAAAGGTGAAGTCTTTAGAGTGTTTAGGTAGAGAAACAGTCCCCTCTATGCTAACAGGCAAGGCGAAAGCTCATATTCCTACCTCTGCACTCTGGTGCTTGTGACCATTCACCTTCTATACAAGTGATGAAATTTTCACCTATCATTTGAAAACTGCTTTCACATTGATAATGCACCCTGGCACCGGACAGATACGTCTCCTGTGAAGTGCTTGCAATATTACCATTTGGGATATTACGTGGAGGTCCACAGCGAATAGCTGAAAAGAGAGGTGCATGTAAGGACCACAGTCCAGCCATATAAGAACCACAGAACATTGCATTCCGGAGCTCCTGATGAGCAAAAAAGGGTTTGTGTAATGCAGATCACTTTCTACAAGTAGAAAAAGAAGATATTTTGGTCTTTATTCTGTAATGTTTCACCACCCAGTAATATTTTTGCCTAAAGTGACTAAAAAGAGAGAAGTCACAGAGATCAGCCAATTGTGCAGACTGGTGCTGTACAGCATTGTGTACCAACGGGCTGGAGAGTTTACTATTTGAAGGTAACTGTCAGCAATTGACATTTTTAGTGATGTGAAAATAACATACATTACCCTACTAGTTTCCTCCTCCTTTGCAGCCAAGATGCATTCCTCCATAATCCTTTGCCTTCTTGATTTCAGCAGACAGCTAAGTTTCAGCTATTAGCTCCAGCCCACAAGGAAATGACTGCTTTGCTGACCTACCCTGCTTTTTGTTTCTCAGGAGCCAGAAAAATAGGTGTTTTAACAGACCATTCAAAGCAAGTCACCTGTTGGCTTTATTGGCCTGACTCAAATGCATGCCTGAGTCGAAATCATCACATGAAATATTAAGAAGGACTACTTAGAAGCAGAACCTATACCTTCACAGGAGGGTGGCGCTGTCCAATTTCCTTTTCTGCAAATAATTTCAGGGGAACCAACAGTCTGGAACCCTGCATCACACCGGTAGAGAACTGTTTCTCCAGGATAATAAGTTTTCGTGTTTCTGCCTTCAAATTGAGCATGGGCAACTTCTGGAATACTTCCACATGACATTTCTGAAAAGATAACAGAAATCTGATGCTTGTGATAATGGGATACACATCAAAGAAGTGTACTCTTTCCACCAAACAGATGCTTTAGTGAGCTATTTCTAACATCAGCATAGTCATCTGCTGACAGTGGATTATATAATTATAGGTAACTAATAATTACATAAAAGATAGCATATGGAAGATTAAATAAGTTATTCCCCTAAACAGGCACAGATTTCAGTGACCAAAATATTTAGATCCTGTTTCTAAACATGCCAGAAAATTTTACTAAAGGCTTCTGTCCCTTACTGTACTGAAGTGATTTCCATCCCTGAGACTCCAAAGCAACTCTTAGTCACTACTGGACTCTCTAGAAAACAGGTCCTTGGATTATAAGGATATGCCTAGTACTCATCTGGCAGAGATATGAACTGAACAAAGATTGCAAGAATACAAAGGAATATTTAAAACCAAGCTAAATCCAGGAAGTCAGTTTTGCACCCTGTCAGGATTGCTCTGGAGACATCTATGATGGAAGATAAGATTCCACAGCAAAATAAAGCTTCAGTTTAAAATTCTTTCCATTTCATTGCTAAATGCACATCAAAATAAAATAAAATAAAATAAAATAAAATAAAATAAAATAAAATAGAATAAAATAAAATAGTATTTTTTTATATTACCCAAGCATTCAGGACCTGCAGTCCATTCTCCCTTAGTACAAGTTATCTCTGTTGATCCATTTATTATGTATCCAGAACGAGGAACATACTTAAATTTAGTACCGGCCAGATAAATTGATTTCTCTTCCTTTTCAGTTTTTAAGTTTGGATTTTCCAGCCTGCGAGGATCAGCACATTCTACAGTCTGTGGTGGCAAACATGGTCTTTCTAAAAAATGCAGAAAACAAAGATAAACAATAATGCAAGAAAATTAATATTGCAATTGCAACTAAGTAATAAATAATGCTCATTTGCAGAATTTGGGATACTATTTAAGGCTTCCAGTCAAAACTGAGACTCCATTATGCAATATACTACAAAAACAAACAAGCACACAGCTCTTGAGAGACTTCCTGAAAGTTTTATATGCCATCTTAGACCAGTCAGTGTAAATAAAAAGACTGCAGCTGCTTAACTACAACTTTAGCAACTTTTGTTCTATTGCTTTTCTGCAGTTACCTGTTCATGATAATTTTAAGAACAGCACCCTCCTGCTATGATGACTGCAAATGCATAACACAGTAAGTCATAATAAAATAAACAGAAAAAAATAGCCCAGTACTGACCCACACAGTGAGGTGGTGATTGCCATTTCCCTTCTGTACAGGTTATTTCATTTGCACCGATGAGCTGGAATCCGCTGGGACATGAATAAGCTATTTTACTCCCATTCCTGTAATATCTTCCAACTGTTGTCTGTTGAACATCAGACACCGGAGGTGGAGGCGGGCACATACCCTCCTCATCTAAGGACATATATTCATATTATAATAGAAAATAAGATATAGTAGTTCATCACAGATTACAACACAAATAACCAAGAAAACATTGATGTTGGATAACTCTCCAATAGCTATATCTCAAGCTTTAATGAATAAAATCACCATTTTGTTTTGCTTCAGAAACACCAGAGCTTCAGATGCTCATATGCTTTCAGAGTCATAGAAAAGACTGTCACAGTCGCCCACACCAAGCTAAGCTGGAGCTTCTTTCCCTTTCACACAGCTGCACACTCTTATGTGTTTTCCCTGTTCCTCTCTCTATGGCGAACTATTTTAGGAAAATTGAACCAACTTCTGGAATTCCTGTTTTGTTTTTCTTCAGACTTAGTTGATAGAGCTAAATGAGAATCACAAAAGGAAACAAAGAAGTCGGCTTCAAATTTGCCACTCAAGGAATGAAAGGCTCTTCCTGCCACAGGAAAGAAAAAAGGAGGGAAGTAGGTTGATCTAGGATGGAGATCTGAGGAGACTTCCAGAGCATGGTTTGTTGCTTCTCTTAGCTCCAGAAAAGTGAGAAGGTAGAGACAGGTGGTCTTGAAAGGGAATGTTCCCTAGAGTGACTGTGTGCTTCTCCCATTTCCTCACATCTTTTCCCATAAATCTGGTATAGTCAAAGCAGGTGAAGAGGCAATGACTGTTTTACAGTCATGCTTTCTGTGGGCAATATCCTGCTCTGCCATGCATAAAGGCATTCCTGCAGGCATTCACCCTCTGGTATGTGTTACAGGAGGGCAATCTCCTCTAGGTCTGTACTTTTGAATTGCCCAACTCAGCATTTTTCTCATTGTTTCAATAGGAAGCAATTGGAAAAAAATGGAAGAAAAGGAAAATCAGGAATTGAAAAGCTTTGAGTGTTCACGTGAAATAAAGGAACTCTGACTGCAGCTTGAGCTTTGTGCTCTCTAATTTGCATCAGGGTAAAGTCCTTTTGAAGAACTGAGCTTAAATTTATCATTGCATCTTTTCTCACATCAGAAGTGACAGTGACAACTGTTCCAATTGTCAGAGTAGAGATAATTGTCTGCCTCACTGAAGTAGTGCATCTCTAAACCTAGTTAACTGCTCAGATGATGGCGGTGACTACCCTTTAGCGTATACATAAGCATGCAAACAATTTCTACTTCAGACTAGCGATACAGCAACAGTAAGAAGCTTTAATAATGATAATTTATCATTCCTACATAAAAAGAAGAAATGGTATGCAAATCTAAAAACACACCTGGACACTCAGTCTCTGATGTCCATTTTCCAGACACACAAGTTGCTTGTTTAATGTTTTTGTCAGTTGATGCACATCTGTAATGTATAACTTCATGAAACTCAGTCCTGCTTTCTGACATGGGATGTTGATCAGGGCTCACTAAGTCAACATCCACTGGAAGTTCACACTGAGGAGATGGATCTGAAAAAAATAAACAAAAAGAGCTGAGAAAATAGATTTAGTTCATATAATGTGTACTAATGAAGATGCATGGGAACTTCCACATGAATATGATAGAAAACCTTACTTTCTGGGTGCTTGAGCAGGGTAGTTGGACCAGATGACCCACTGTGGTCCCCTCCAACCTGACCCATTCTGGGATTCTGTGAAAAGGACTAATGCACATAAAAGTGATGAGGATGGGGTAAGCCTGTGGTTATTAACATTAATTCCTTTTAATAGTTGATTTCAATGACTATGCAAGTGTCTTTTTCCTTCCCCAGACCTGCTCATAGTGCTTACAAAGTTGTAGGTGCGGAGCCTTTCCACAATGAAGAACATGCTCCCATTTAAAAGAGGAATAAATTGAATTCACTTTTGATGGACTGAATGGAACTCCTATTAAGGGAATTGATTGAATGGGAAGAATGGGAAGGTAGAAATATGAGGTCCTTCACCCTCTCAAGCTTCAGAAAAGTCCATGTGCCTCATGAAAGGCTGTAGCACCAACACAAAAAACGCTTTTCAGATGCCAGTAAGTTGTGCTCTGTCTTAAAAAGGATAAGGACAGAGGTATATGTTTTTCCTTCTGCATTAATTTATTCATCCTACTAGATGAAGCTAAGGAATTTCACAGGAAAATCCTTCACTGGGTTTCTTTGGCTTGGGTCCAGTTCTGTGTTACCTCCAAAACAGCTTTTTTTTCCCTTCAATATCATGTGATTAGAAAAAAGAACATAGGATACAGTATCTGAGGGGTATCAACATTAGGCAATGGCAAAACTTAGGGCATCTAGGATACAGCAAGAGAGGGCATTGCTCAAATTAATCACTCCTGGCTGCCCTATTGCACATTATTTATGCATTTTTGAATAATAAATAATTTTTCAAACATTACAATCAATAACCTGATTAATATTTTGTGCAAGCCATTTGCCAACTCACTTTCAGTTACTACAAAACTTCATAACTTCATATTGCATAACCAAAGCTAGCAAAAAGTCCAACACTGAAAGTTCAACTGTTGAGAACCTTTCACACAAAATAGGAAAACACCATGAAATGATCCAAAGAGGTCTAGTTCTTAGCCTTTTAGAGATGAAGATGGGATGGTTGTTTTTTGGAGCAAGACTAGCTTATAGAAGGTGTCTGCAGAAGTGTTTAGAACCAAGGCATTCTCATCTATTTCCTACTACGATAAAGTTAACAGAAGAATTACCTTTACACACAGGTGGTAATGGAAACCATCCAGAGGAGTAGCACTGAGCAGAGGCAAATCCCACTCTTACAAAATTCTTTGCACAGGAAAATGTCACAACATCTCCATTCAAGTATTTATCCTTCTTGGGAGAAAAATATCCATTGGGCAATTCCAGCAGGCCACATTCTATTACTACAAAGACAAAATATTTTAACATATAGTGTACACCCTACAGTACATGAAATGCTACTGATTAGAACAAAACCAAAGAAAGTCTTAAAGAAAAAAGGTTCATAGAGTGCATACAGAGTTACACTAATTAGGAAACACAAAAATATTCACCGGTACACACAGGTGCTGGACTCCATTCACCATTTATGCCACACATTGTGGTTGGTTTAGAATCTGCAATTTTATATCCTTCCAAACATGAATACTCAATTCTATCTCCAGGAACGAACACAGTTTTATTTGTGTGGTTAATCAAAATGTCCTTTGGTGCTTTACATGATCCTGTAGAGTAAAACAAAGTGCATTTTGTTATCCAAAAACATTGCCCTTTGGAAGCATCATCCCTGTAGGTGTATTTGAAACATTATTAATTCTGCATTGCCAGTTTATGTAGAATATGCAGTATGTTCCCATATTATCTATTGCATTAATCTTCAGAAATATGTCTAGAAGTAATATTTAGCATAAATACTTCTTCCTTAGGTTCAATTATTTTCTTCTGCTACATATTATTATTATTATTGTTGTTATTGTTATTATTATTATTATTTTTGGTGTCATAGCAGATGGTTTGTACTCCTGTTCCATGGTCATTTGTGAGAGGTCAGAAAAGAAGCCACAAAACCCTAAGTAAAGACAGTCTGAAATAAAAGGACAAGATAAAATGGCAGCTAAAGTTGGTCAGTATTATGAGCCTCAGTATCACAACAATGGAAAATTAAGTCTTTTATTATACTACACCCCTGTTCAGGAGAGGAAAGAAGTTCCAAATAAAGAATCCTCTTTGTCTCTAGTTTGATCACATTTAAAGAAAATTCTTGGCAGAATGCCTTGGTTCACAGGCATTTTCTCATAAACTGGGAGTAGATTTGGACAAATGTACTTTTTGTCAGGTAAGAATCACTGAAGAGGTCAGCGATTGCCATTTACTTCATGCTAAAGAGATCCAAAAAGATAGGTCACCTAGAAGACAGTAGATTTTTTTCCCCACTTTACTCAATACCTTTATGTTTTCTCTCTGTATATCCTAGAGTCTGAGAATGGTTAATCTCTGAGAGATTTGAGTCTCTGCCCAGTAAGAAAACTCCACTAATCTAGATGGCAAAACTCTGGGTATGCAGGACACCATTTCTATGATGGTGACAATGGTAGAGAGCTCTGAAATGTTTAGGTACTCACTGATGCATTTTGGAGGTGGAGTCCAGCCATTTTCTCGGCACTGTGTCTCTCCTTCGTCTTGTCCTTCTGCAGTTGCAAAGCCATCTCGACACCTATACGAGGCCACTTCTTTTAAACGGAATGTTGGCTGTGACAAGGTGAAATAACCATTCTCAAAAACCCTAGTCTCGCATTTTTCTGAAAGAGATAGACAAAATTTCTTCCAAGTAAAATACTGCTAAACTGCAGAAGGACAACAAAAGAAGCAGCATTCTAGGACTTAGAACATTTTTAAGAGCACATGAAGTTTTGCTTCTGCACTGAGCTCTCTTCTTGGGGGACAACTGGCAAGCAAGAATTCAGAGTTCACAGCTACCGACTCATGAAGCATAAACAGGGATAGGCAGAGGTTTGATTTGCAGCAATCCTGCAAGCTTCCCAAACTGTATTTCTGTGTCTGGTCTTCACTAGAAATTACATTCCTGTTGGGCCTGCACAGCACTGTGCATGCACAGAGAGCAGCTCCCGTCCATACTGCCAAGGAGAAGTCAGTCAGAGTGCACATACTGCAGGACTGCAGCAAATCTGTATCAAAGGCCCCCTTCTTCCACAATAAAACACTAGTGTAAACAGACCCAATGTTGCAACTGATTTCATGTCACTTGGAATACATTGTTTAAGCCATTTAATATTAACTAAACATTCATGTTTAATATATTGTTTAATACACTGTTAATACGTTGTTTAGATATAATGTTTAATACATTGTTTAGATATAATGTTTAGTATGTTCTTTAAATGGATGGAAATCAGTTGTCTCGGTTGGCTGTCTCACTCTTGTATTCTGAAAGATAAAACATGCATATTGAATTCTTTACTACTTAATCATTCTGTGAAGGAGTGTCTTCATTTTAAGAAATTAACACTACAATAAATAGAAATATTTTCATATTAGAGAGCCAAGTAAACAAAGATATAAAAAACCCCCAAACCCAAAGCACGTTAAAGAACACTAGAGGATGTATTTATTGTTGGGAGCAGAGTTAATGATACTTTAGTGCAACACCTTCAAAAGTTTAAATTTCACAGTGATGCTCATAACTGCCTAATACTAGGAATCATAAAATTTTATTTTTCTTGCTCATTGCTATGTCAAAATCTCAGTGGGGGGCAATCCAAAACATTATATGGCAGTGTGGAATTGTTTCCTAAAAAAGAATATTCTTACAGTCCAAGAAAAGTTTGAATTATTGAAATATTGAATTATTTCTTTGTCAGTGGGAAATAATTATCTAAATATTTAAAATTCCTGTGAGATATTATAGCAATTTCAGGCTTGGTGCAAGTCAGGAACAAAAGCTGGAAATGAATTGGAGAGGTAACCTTCCTATTACTCCCACCTTCCAGTATGATGCCAATGGGAAAGGAGGCAAGAGGAACAAGGATCAGGCGGCATAGCAAGAGGCTGAAGGGAGTCTGTGCCAGGGAAATGATTGCTATTTATGACTGCACAGCTATGCTACAACAAGATTTCACCATGGAAGACAAAGGGATTAGGACTCCCACCCCAGAGCTCACATCCTATATCTGGAGGAGCCACATGTGGCTGTTTTACAGGGTTACACTCTGTCTTATAGTGACTGACCTAAGCAGCACACAGAGACACAAGAGCTGCGTAGGACAAGTGAGAGAATCACAGCACTGCCTTTCCATTGTAGAGCAACTTGACTTAGAATTACTAAGCAGTGGTGATGGGTCACGTGATGATGTATTTACTGGTTTTAGATAGAAACCTCAACGAAATACAAGCACACTCACTTTCAAGGACACATCTTGGAACAGGTAACCAGCCATTCCTTGTGCACGTGACTTCTTCATGCTCAGCCTGGTAGCCACTGCGGCAGGCGTATGCAGTTGTATCACCTTCTTTGTAATATCTCTGAGTCTGGAATTTTGGCACACGACCATGTTGTATCTGTCCGGTTTTACATATTTCTAAAGAGGAAAGGTAAGAACATTTAACCACAGTAATTTCTACAGTAAGAACTGAGGCAAAATAATTCTTAGGAAGACAGTTACTAAGAAACAGGCCTCCAAGCACATTTCTGTAGCCTTCTATCCCAAAAAGACATTTGTGTGCAAACCTGAATGAAAGCATGCCTTATTTCACTGCCCTGAGAATAATGAATCACATTAACAGAAGTGGAAGTCCCTACATAAAGCAAAAGTCACTACATAAAGTGAAAAGTGGTCATCTAGTAACTGAAATCTCTTACCTATTGTTCATGTGCACCAGCTCTAGTTTGGGCTGCTATGTCTCTAAACTGTTGATGTCTGCACAGAGTGAATTTCAGCATTTGCTTCCTGGATATTTTATAATCTCTGTTGAAGTGTATCAGCCTCTCAAACCAGGTCTAGAGATTTTAGCAACAGCTTAGCACACTGGCTCTATGGCCTCCTGTGCCCCAAGAGCCCAGACATAAGGAAGATGGCTGAAGGAGTGTTATACTGTGTTATCTGAGTAACTGGTCCTTTCCTCCAGGCAGGGCTCCATTTATTTCCTGCACTGAACACCACTCCACTGAGGGCATCAAGGAAAGATCGACCTTCTGAAATTCACTTTCAAGTCCTACCAGTAGGCAGGAACTTTGCTGTGACTGAAGATGTCTGAGAGGAGACCTCACCTTGCTGTTTTAAACTTAAGTCTAATTTATTTTAAATCTAAGTAGTGTATCTGGTTCTTTTGCTGATACCATGATCACTTTTAGCTTATTCCAAGAGTGTGACATCTTTTCAGCTCCAAAAGCTTTCCAAAGGGACCAGGCAACGGTTCTCAGAAAGGAACCTCTAGACAAAGTGCCCAAACCATGGAAGGGGGAATATATTCAAAAAGACTAGAAACTCTCTGTTTGTACATGCAGCTGTGTGTGCAGAGGAAAGTATATGCTTGCATATTACCCAGAAGCCAGAGAAGACATATATTTCTTAATCTCATGAATATTTTCAGGACTAAAAAAATCTCCAAAATACAAAAGTATCACTTCAGCCTTACTCATGTCAGAGTGTCCCCAGCTGACACTTTGAGCTCTGCAGAAGATGACAGTCTGGATGCAGTTCCAGGGGTCAGCTAAAGCAGTCCAACTTTAAGAAACTATTTTGTCTTGTGTTCCATCAGAACAATTTCTGCTGCACAGACCTTTGATAATTATAACAGAATTGAGCATATATTGGAAATACACTTACTCAGGCATTTTGGCTCTGGATCCAAGCCGTTCACAGAACACGAAATTTGTTGCCAGGTATTTCCACTGAGGGTTAAATAACCATCGTAACAGGTGTACTCAACAATCTGCCCAATTTCCAATGGAAAGTAAAGCCCTGAGAACCGCTCCAACCTGCCGTTTGCTATATTTGGGTAGTTACATGGTTTCGCTTGAACTAGAATTTAAGAGCAACAATGTCAACACATGCATGATAAAAAGCTCAGCACACAATTAATTCAGATGCAGCTTCACCACCTGGGTGTTTTCAAAAACAGGCAGAACCAGGACCGCACACCCTGGCACACCCTTAAGGAGCGCGGGAACAACCACACTCTGCTTCTGGTGTCTTTGTCAGTGCTTATAGCTATGTCATTTCCCCCAATTCCATTGCAACCAACAGAAAGCCAGGAAACATTCTCAGCAGACTCCAAAGGCTGATTCATGAGACTAAATGTAAAAAAAAATATTTATTCTACAGTGAGATGACACTGCCTTTGTAGAGGGTCTTGACTAAATTTACCATGCTGACCATGATGGGAGCCCAGACATCTGCCTCAGATATAGAAACTGACCTGCACACTCTTAAAATTGAGTGACTTCTGTTACTGCTTCCATTTGTAACTTTTGGGATCCTGCACCAAAAACTCTTCCTTACTCTTCTCATTTTTATTTTAAAATTTTATTTTAAAATTGTAATTTTGTTCTCTTGGTTCCTCAAAAGACCTGACCCTTTTCAGGGAGAAGTCAAGGACAGAAGAAGGAGATTTCCAGAAGCTTTCAAGTTAACCTATGTTCCTCCCGAAATGCTCTGACCCAGAGCCTGCCTGCAGGGGCAGGGCAAATCACCCACCAGACAGACCATTCAATAATGAGTGGTCTCAGAATGATACCTGAATTTTGGAACCCATACTAATATAGAGGAAACATTAATACAGATATTAACAGCGCACTTTTCAGAAATAGATCGAACCATCTTATCCAAAGGTTCACTTACAAGGCTGATTCCATCAGGGTTTTTCTCACAATCTATTCTAAGTTTTTCTTTTATTTTCAGTGACCAAAAATCAAAGAGTGCTAGATTATGAAACTAATTGCTAATTTATATATTTATTTTTTTATACTGAGCCTACTTGTCAAAACTATAGTTGTAGTTATGGGAACTTTAAGCCCATAAAGAGCTCATCAACCATCAGGAATACCTTGTTTTCTTATCTGACAGGCTCTAACAGATAGAAATAGATGCAACTATTCATAACACCAACTTAAAACTCCAAGTGAAAATCTAAAGCTGTGATAGCTAAGAGGAAAGACATTTTCCAACCATTACCTATACTTTGGCTACTTTAACACTCATAATGTCCTCTTATCTTGACTGGGATGCTCCTTGGGCAGAGCACAACTGAGCTGACTATAGCACATTTTAACATATTCACCAATACAGTAATAGATAACACCTGTGTTAATAAACATAATATAAATATAGATTAAACCACTGTATTATAGGCGATTTTTCTAAAACATCATATTAAGCTTTACGTCACAAAGAAAAAAATGAATGACTCCCATGTCTAATGCTCCTTGAGTTTTGCTCTTCACCTTTTTTTTTATCAGATGTTTCTTACAACTTTACATTTTGTATTTTCATCCATGAGCACTACTTACAGACGCAATCTGGAGGTGGCACCCAGCCATTCTTGGTGCATTTAGCTGTGGATCCGCCAGTTGGTGCTTTAAAACGATATCCATTATCACACTGTACATTGATTGTATCATCTTCTTCGTAGCTGGGTTTTTTAGGTCCAAAGATCCCATAGCGAATTACTGGAGGAGAGCATACAACTTCTAAACAAAAAGAGAAAAAAATGAAGAATATGTTTAAATTTACTGTTTAATTTCTTGTTTTCATAGTATACTGACCATAACTGCATAAAATTGTTAAAAAGATGTTTCTTAGGGCAAAGAAAAGATTACATTCCTCTCCCACTCTTATAGTTCTGTAAGAGAAGAATGACAGCTGTACTGATGTCATGTTAATTAGAAGCTTAAAACTAAATTGCAAAGGGAATGGCTGGAGGAAGAACTGGAGGAAATCAAACTGAATGTGACTAATTTTTTCCAGGAGGTCATTTTGCAGCTGGGTTATGCTGGGCTCATTTATAGACACTGCCCCAAAGTAGGGCAGTGTTAGTGGCAGGTCCTAAATGAAGAAATAGCTACACTTAAATAGGAACTGATCGCTCAAAGGCTATGTGATTAAGATTAGGGTCTTGCACTGACACTGGAAGTATTTCAACAGCTGAAAAAGGTCAAGAATCTTATTCTAAAAACCCATATCTTTATGCTCAAAGAAACCAGGCAAATGTATTCTTTATAAAACAGAACCTGTCCTTTAGATTTTTTGTATTCTACTTCCAATTCAGAAAAAACCATCAGCACCCTCAGGGCTGGGAGGGAATGACTACATGTTGGTCCTGCTGTGAAGGTGGGTGACTCAGTTGTATGCAGGTACTGCTGAATCATCTAGGTTCAGTGATAAGTCAAGCAGGATCCAGAACCACTATTTGAATATGTCCCAAGTATCAGAGCCCAGTATATTGGTGTCTAGAAGAACGTTTGTTTGGCACTTCTCAAAAGCAGTATGTTGCTCAACTGTAGGCGGTGCATATTAATTAGTATCATTACTAATCTTGAAGCAGAAAGGTCAAGAACTAAGTGGGCCCCAAGACTGACAAGTCTTTATTTCTAAAGGAGTCTTTCTGGAAGAGGTCCCAGGAAGGTAGGTGGTAAATAACATCCTACGATGTTGCCCTGTTGCCAACATTTTTTTCCAGTTTCAAGAGTTTGGCAATTTCTTGAAGACAATTCAAGGCACTAATGATTTCCCCAAAATTTACATCAAGCTGCTTCAGTTGGGACATAGCATGCATATTTCTGTCTGCTGGATTTAGAGATTTAAATATAGTCTGTAAGTGCTGTAATTGAATTAAACGAAAGTAAAATCCATGACCCAGAGGGCTAATGTCAAACAGGACTAGCCTCAAAAATTATGGATTTGTCATATAAGCTGCCCAGAAAGCATTTGAGAGTTAAAAAGCAATAAGGTGCTTTAGCATTGTAAATATATTAATTTGTAGAGATTCTCAGATAATTTATGACGTGAAGCTTGAATGCTGTGGATAATGTGGTTGTTCAGTTACAGCTCTGATGACATTAAACATGTTGCTGCCTTCATCCTAGACTAAGGGTCATGCACAGGGACAGGATTCACACATCCCATTTCTTGACGAAATATCTGTGCAAAAAGTACTATTGTTTTCAGCTTTATATGTAATCCAGCATTAAAACTGCATTGTAATTTTCAGCTTCCACACTTATGGCCATCAGTAGACTACTTGTTCTTCTGAAATTGGACTACTTCACTTTTGTTTAACTCCTTTGGAAATGGCCATATCAGCTACAGATTGTCCCTCCTACAATACTTTCCTACTATGTCAGAAGAGCTCTTGAAAGCCAGCTTACAAAATTCAGGATTTTAACTTGAAACATACTTTGAAAGATATTTACTGTTTTAATTGCCAGTCACTTCTGAAACGTTGCACAGGACACCAACGCTTTCTTACTGAAGGTCTATTAGTGTAATAGGGATCTTTTTTTAATTGCTTCTCTTTGGTTGGAACTGATTGATCAGAACTAGTAGCCTGAGATTTTAAAGAACGGATATAATGACTGGCAAGAAGGTGCTCAGTCTGCTCATGAGTTAGACTCATCAGGACACTCAGAAAAAATGCAGAGGTCAGTTCAGTAGGTCAAGTAAACTTCTGTTGTCTCAAATGTTCATAGAGAGTGAGATGCTGAGTGGCCCTTGACTGAATGTTTAGCCCTTGGATTACAAGGAACAGTCTCAGTTATGGTGACACAGCATCTCAAATACCCGAACATGGAAGACCTGGAGATGCATTAACCTGTATCTCTACCTCAAAGAACTGCTTGTCATTCATTAGTAGGCCATCAAGCTAAGACCATTAGCTTTTCTCAATTTTATTCAAACTGCTGCTATTCATAAGGTATCAAACAAATATTTCTTTACTCAGTCTTCCAACTTACAGCACATTCTCTGACATGTGCTAGTTATGTCCATGTTTAACACCCCTAAGAAGATATCAAGATTTTATGTGAAGAACTAGGACTTTTCATTACTTTTCCAAGAAGCTGGTTTCAATATTTAATTTTTCCATGCCATTAAAAATTTCAGATTCCTTCTGCAGTTTGAATTTCTTTGGTACTAATACTTTTTTTTCCTGCATGCTTAAATATTCTTTTTAGTGTCTCATTTTTTCTATTCCTTTGATAAAACATTTTCACTCTGTTTTGTAGAAGGTACTCAGCTTTATCCTTCCTACCTGTCCAAATTAGTATTTTTTTCTAACTCAAGAAATCCTTTTCATACGCTCTTCCCACTAATTCAGAATTATATAAAAATATGATATAATAACTACAGCTACCAATGCTGCATGAAGTATTTTAGCATCAATCTTGTTTATGTAGTATACCAGAGTAATTGTTGCTTTGTGGACCTCTCAATCTACACTCAAGTAGAAAAAGAAAAAGGAATTAACTGCTTTTGCTACTGCTCTCCATGGAAAACTCTTATCCAGTTGCTTGGTCCTGTGAGCACTTAATCCTTCCTGATCTTCATGGATATTGGTTAGATGTGGATGGATTTGTTATGAATAAACTTATTAATCTCTCAAATTACTTCCAAACCCAACAAATGTGTAAAACCACTTTAGGCCAGACTGACTAGTGCAATAGGGAGGTGGATTCCATCCTGTTTCAGTGCATAGGGCATCTTCTCTTTCGCCAGATCTGTATCCCTTATCACAGGAAAACCGCAGTATTTCCAATTCCTTGTAAGACTTCTTCTGAGAAGTTACATATCCATTCAGAATTTCTGGCACATCACAGATAATACCTGAAATAGAGAAAGATAAAAATCCATGTGTTTTTGTTTACTTTTATTTGCTAAGCATAAAATCCTCTTGTAATAAAGTTGGGGGGGGGTGTTTGTTTGTTTGGTTTGTTTTTTTGGGTTTTTTAAATTTGAATTCACAAAAACTTTTTGCATTTGGAAACTGTTTAAAACTTGAGAACTCTTCAGTGACCCAATTGTGGATTCCAGGTAGTAAGTAGCACAGCATCAGTTGCAAAGTGATTCACAAGACAGATTTCAGGGCTTTGCTTTGGATTTTAATGGAACTCAGAATCAATATTTAATGCAGATTATATTCCAAAATCAGAAATTAGGTTAACTGAAATCTAGGATTTTTCTTTTTTTCAGATAATTTAATTTGTTTGTAGTTTCCAGGAAACCTAATGCACTCTCATAGCCAGTAGATTATTAGTTAAATCATTACATCAAGAGGAAAAAAGAATTAAAGTATCTTGAAAACTGACACTAGAATGCTTAACATTATATAAAAGAACATCAGCAATCCTAGCTCCTTACTAAACCCAATAAAACCACCAAGATCTTGCAGTTTCCTAAAACAGAATTCATAAACCAAGAAAATATTCAAGGCTTTGCTTCCTAGGTCACAGAGTAGAACATCCAAGTTCTCTTGGATTCCTTTGCTGAATTTACTTTGTATTTAGGATGAAATATAGCTCCTTGGAACTGTCATTGTTTAATGAAATTCACCATATTCTGCAAATGTTATAAGCACATATGTTTAATTCTACTTTATAATGTGGGATTATGCTACAAATGATAATAAATGGGGATTTCAAAGCAGCAAAATGCAGCGCTGAAATTGTAAACAAACCATACATTTATCTGCCATCCTGACACACATACTCTGCTCTTCTAAGCACATACTTCCTGATCAGATAACATATCAATAACATAAGAAACTTGATGGTCTGAGTATTTAAGTGTTTGTTACCATAATCTTCCTGGGATTCATTCTTACATACTGATAATCCAATCCCAGACAATCTCTGTTCTCAAACTGGGAGGAATCCACCTGTACAAGCTGCAGGCAGGGGAGGTAGAATCATAGAATCATAGAATAGATTGGGTTGGAAAAGACCTCCAAGATCATCAAGTCCAACCCCTGATCCAACTCCAATTACTATATCATGGCACTAAGGGCCACATCCAATCTCTGCTTAAAAACCTCCAGGGATGGTGAATCCACCACCTCTCTGGGTAGGCTGTTCCAATGCCTGATAGCATGGGGTCCACTGGCTGAAAAGCAGTTTTGCAGAAAAAAAGATCCTGATGGACAAGTTAAAAAGCGGCCAGAAATGTGCCTTTGCAGCAAACAAAATAAACAGCATCTTGGGCTCCACTGGGAAGAGTGTTGCCAACAGATCAAAAGAGGTGATACTTTCCCTCTACATCTCCCCAGGTTTGAACTCTCCAATGGAGGAAAGATATGGACATACTGGAGCAAATCCAGTGAAGATAATTAAGGAATTGGAAAAACTGACAGATTAAAAGAGATTTAAGAGAGTCTAGAAAAAACGAAGGCTTGGGGTGGGGGAGGGAGAGTCTTTTTTATATGTGTAAATTCCTGAATTCTGTGGGGCAGGCAGAAGTAAAGAAAATGGAGCCAGACCTTTCCCACTGGCAGCCAGCCATACGAGGAGAATGGGCAATGAATTGAAATATGGGCATGAATTGAAATATAGGAAATACCACTGAAACATTTTTACTAAACACTACAGTTCAAACACTGTAACAGGTTACCCAGGGAGGCTGTGGAGTCTCCATTGCTGGAGATATTTAAAAGCTGGAGATATTAAAAAACAAGAACATGTTCTTGAGCAACTTGTCCTACCTAATTGCTCTGAGGGAACTTCAGAGGTCCCTTCCAACCTCACCTCTTTTGTGATTCTGCGGTTCTGTAAACATGAACCTTCTAACTTGTAAAAAGAAGAAAGAGAAACCCATCAGGATTTTTTGGTATTCTGTATACCCTAAGATTAAAAACCCTACTTGTTTATTTTCAGTTCACGAAGATTCAGAATCACTTCTAGTTACTTTGGTTAAATTAACACTGAAGTGATTGAATCTCTGGTAGACGTACCAAAGTTATTTTCAAAGAATTGGACTGCAGTCTGGCAAAACAGTCAGCCTGTAGCAAAAATGTGGAAAAAACAGATGGTCTATTATGATTATATTAGCATCTAATATTATTACATTTCTCTTTCTTATCCTACTTCTTCTTCATATACACAATGGAGATTGTTTACAGACAAACTATGTTTAATTGCCGTGAAATAAAGTAAAAGCTTTGTAGCTTCCCATGTGGTAATCAGTCCTTAGGAGACTGTGAAAATAAAGCTTCTTAATTACACATTGTAAGTAATGTCCTTTTTACCTTGGCACTGAGGCACATCATCACTCCATCTTCCATCAGATGAGCAAATTATTTCTTTAGCTCCAACAAGCTTGTATTTTGCATTACATTCAAAATGTACAACTTGGCCAAAGGAATATTCTTGGTCTAGCTCAAATACACCAGCCATAATTATTTTTCCATTTTCTGGTGCCTCTACAGGTAAACACTTTACCACTGGAAAAATAAAACAGAAAGAAAGGAAAAAAAGAAGTAATTTTGAGGTCTAGTCTGCAAAATAAATTGCCACACAAAAAAAGTGAAAATACAGAAAACTCACTGTAATTTCCTTACACATTTTAAAAATATACTCTTTAGTTATGTATCCAGATACCATTTCCAGCAGATATAACACAAACCCCTAAGCAAAAAGATCAACTGACATAGGAAGAAGCTTGTAGACCAGCTCTCATCATCCTCTTGTCTGCCCTTGAAAGCTAAAGACAGAGCACCCACTGAACTAGATGGCCTCCTGAGGCCTTGACTGTCATACAGGGCCATTAAAATTTGTCAAAATTGGTTGACTTAGTTTATAGTTGTGCCAAACTGAATCTGCTATGGACAGATACCTGGAAGAGTGCTGCATTATAGGCTGACAATAGTTCAGCTATTAACTAAAATCCTAGTTGAGGTTATCAGCAAAATTATGTTACTAAAGTAAACAAACACAGTGTCAGCCATTAATTTAGACCTCTAGCATCTCACAGTTTTGGACCTGCGGAAAGAAGCAAGAATTAACATATGTCATCAAATATTTCTTATTAAGGGGGAAAATTACTATCAAAACTCATTCTTAAATGTTCACACATAGACATCCCTGCGCAGGTACAAAAGTGGCTTGTGTTTTGTCTACCAAAGTTTCAACTTCTCTCTGACAGCACTCACCATCTTAAAAGTCATCTGCCTTTTTTGTGAGCTCATATTCTGTCTTCTAGGTTCCTCACATTTAGGACATTGAACAAAAAACTTTCTTTCACAAGCAATCTTATTTCAATGAAAAGGCAACCATGAAAGGAATATCCATCTTAGGAGGACTTTGGAATTGCAGTATCTTGGTGACATATAACAGAAAAAGCTGGAAACCCTTGCTCTACACCATCCAGACAGACCTGTACACCTAAGTTTGAGGAGGTTAAAATCCAATAAAATAAATGTGACGTTATCTACATCCAAGGAAATGTCAAAACACAGACAACAAACTCTAGACAAGAGAAAAGTATCTACTTTCTTTTGGGATTCCTCACTTACAGACCTTTTCTTGATATCAGATGCTTAACCTAAAGAAAAAGGTCATTGCTGTCTACATGTATTAAAAATAGACTAGTTAAAAATTATAACATCAAAGATCAGGGAAGCATCATCTGAGCCATCCAGTCTATTGAGTCTTGATGTCTGAGTCTCTCTTGCTCTCACGCTAGCTGACTGAACGTCTTTCACAATATTCTAATAATAGGGAGAAGACCTTGTAACAAAATCTGAATGGTTAGGATATTCACAAGGGTGGAGGAGGAAACCAGCTAGAAACACACATGCCTTCATACTCCTTTGAAGTGCAGAGTCCCAATTACCTTTTGAAACCATGTTTTGCTGGCAGCTACTCTGTCAGGGCCTTCAGGCAAGGCAGAGCTTTAAACCATTTTGGAAGTGACAGGACTCCATTTCATGAGTGGTTTTTAACAGAAGCTTATTGGACTAAACTGGCTGAGCAGTCATTGTAAGGGTTTCACTGCTGCCTAACTTGAATTTAAACATATGTGAATTAACACCTGTAAATGATCACAGACTAGTTTCTAGGTAGTTTCAGACAGATAATTAAATAAATAAATTAAATAGAAAATAAACCCCCATTTACCTTCACAGTAAGGGATATCGTTGCTCCATCCATCTGCTTGACACTCACGGTAATTTCTTTGGCTGAGCATCTGGTATCTTACCAAATAAAAAGCAAACAATGCTAAAATACAGTTTCATTATGTGACAGAAACAACAGTGCTGTTGTTCTTGAAGCAAGGGAAGTAGGTGTCAGATGTTTCAGCATAGAACAATCAAAGCGTGACAAAACAGAGTAGTTTTTTGACCTGCATGTCTCCTATTTGTTTTCTCTTAATTGCATATGTGAAAATATAAAATAAAATCAGAAGATAGGAAGGAATTAGTAAGAAGGCTTCTTCATTACAGAGATAGCAAGTTTTGGCTACATAATAAATAACCTAGGGGCAATTTGCACAGTCAGTAGCAAGGAGAAGAAAGCTCCTGATGCTTCTCTTCTGGTATAACTGAAAGCCTTGTGACAGCATCCACATAGGACTTAATCCAAAACATATGTGTCATGCTTTTATGAGGAAGTATACATCTTAAGTCTGAGGGCAACATGGCCACGATGCCATGGCTTCTGCTTGGTTTGAAATGCAGTCAGAGGAAGTACAGCTGGTCTGAAATGACAGTGATGAATGGAAGTTAAGGGATTAAGGAGAATATTGATTTTTGAGCTCTCTTTGTGCAACCCGGATTAGATTCCGGTAACGTAACAATGGCAAATCATGGCTAAACTGCAGCGCAGGCCGAGAGCTGATTTGTGTTTCAAGAGGGGAGATCCAATTACAGGCACACTTAACTAAGCACAACACCATGTATTCGACTTGCTGGGGTTTTCATTGGAGAAGATGAATAGAGGAGGAAGGGAGAAGAATTTCTTTCAAGCATTCAGTGAAGAAACACTAGTGAGTCTACCAGAAATGTCTTCCTTCAAACATTTTTTACCATACATTTTACTTCATAATGCAAAAAATGATTGAAGCAGGACCGACGAGTTGTGGTTCTGAAGAGGAGATTGTTGTATGGCCTAATGACTTCTCTAACACAACTGCATCCTGGCTGCCTACTGGCAGCACAGATTCCAGCATACTGACCTGCACTTCCATCTGAACTGGCTGGCTGGTAGAGTCATGATGCAGCTTTACAGACAGGTCACTATTTTTGTTTTCTACTCAACAGCCATGATTTCAAGTTAGATAAAGCCTTACATATTTTAGACACTTTGGATGAAGCATCAAGTGCATGAGTTCAGTTACTCCAGTAGCACCAGACAAGAGAAAGAGTTATCCTTAGTATTAATGTAATTGCAGAAATTCAAATTCATCCATAAGCAAGAATTAAATACCAGTAAGATGCTTTACAGTTGCATTACAGAGAATAAATATATAACTGACACTATCATTAACACCTTATGTTAATTCTCATACATTGAATTAAACAAGTATTACCCATCATTACATCTGTACTCAACTCTGGCACCAAATACAAATTCATGTCCCACGGTAAGTTCAAAGGAACCAAACTGAGCATCTCCAGGATGCCCACAGGGCTTATCTGGTAAAAAAAAAAAAAAAAAAAAAAAAAAAAAAAAAAAAAAAAAAAAAAAAAAAAGAAAAAAAAAGAAAAAAAAATGATGATGAAGAAGAAAAAAATACTTACACCATACATAGGAACGTGAAAATGTGAAAGACAGCATTTTCTCAGTAATTAGTAGTGAGTACATACCTTTCAAAAAATTTAAAAATGCTCAGCGTTAGTTTGATTAACACCCTCCTTTTTTATCAGTATTTTCAATGAGAACATATTGGAGTATGCATGTGCTCCTTAAAAAAAACCAAAACCCAAACTCCAAATTAGCTGGGTTTATTCCTTTAAAAAGGCTGCGCTCATCTTAAGTTTTATGACAAATTTATGGCAATGTTTCATGCAATTTGTGACATAAACTTGTTCAAAGCTTCAACTAGAGAATTCATCCATGATTGGAAATGAAATCTGATGGGGAATGTGCTGAGGAAAGAGGGGTGATCTAAAGCCACTGGAGTATTTTGGTCCTTAGTGCTTTTTGCTCAAAGTTCCCTGTAGGACTTTCTTAACTCTTTACCCTGGATTCCCAAAAGAATGGCAGAGATGAACACACCATCCCTGTCATTCATGCTCTTTTGATGCTACAATATGGACTGCTAAATAAACTGCACAGCTAAAGCCTATCAGTCCTCCTCAGAAGTCTTTCCTGGTCCCTGTTAATCAAGGCAATTTCATTTCTTAGGGCATATCAACATCCTTGGTTTTTTTCCAGTCAAGAGGTGCTTGAGTAGGCCCTACACCCACTACAGTGGGATTCAGAGAAAATGGAAAACTTGTGATCAGTTTTCCTGTCTACTGTGGTCTATCCTGGAAAAGGAATGTGTTCCCTTAGCCTGTGGCAGAGCATCCCTTCTCTCTTCCCACTCACTCCTTGCCGGTGGCGATAGCTGCTCACTGGGTGGCAGTATTTGCTAAAATATGGCACTTAAAACTACATCAAGTTTTGTATAGGTTCGTGTTCACTGCGTAGTTAAACAAGTAAATCTAAAAGCTGAGATGGTGACTAAATAAAAAATGTAAAACAAATCCAGTAGCAACTTTCTTAATTAATTCTTGATTTGTATCAATCTCTGGTTGAAGGACACTTAGAACTTAAATTTATATTATAAAACCAAAAATTTTTATTCTACTAGTAAAAGTTTTGCATGTTAGATACGCAAGAAAAACCTGTCATGTTTCGAAAATTCCTTTGTGTATAAAACTCAGTTATTATAGAAAAGAAGTATCTGCTGACTAACGATAATAAACTTCTATTTCTTTGCTAATGAATTCTCTATGAGGTTGTGAGATACTTCTAAACTCTTAACACAGTACACTAGAGATAATAAATAGTAGCTCTCATCCTAATCGTGAATTACAGATTAAAAGAAAAGGCAGGAAAAAATAATACCCCACTTCCAAGAAATTATACCATTCACAGAATTAGTTGAATAAACTGTCTCTTGACTGCATGTAGAAGCTAGGTTAGTGCTTTCTTCTGCTTAGACAGTAAATTTCATCTGCATTAGACATTTAATAAAATATAGGAAGCAAGCTTCTAACAACTTAATAACTGATCTTAATAACAGTTACTAAGGGTTAATAAGGCTGGCCTAGAGTAAGATCTTCTGTCAAGAAAAAAGAAAAATCCTTTGATCTGGAGAAAAGGAAGTTCAAAAAATGTTTCCTTATGCATACATACTTTTTAGGATGAGATTTTAAAGACTATAGAAATAAGTAAGTTACAGGTAAAGACACAATGGCAATTTCACATTAAGGTCACTGGCAAGGAATGCAATCTGTCAGGTCAAATGTTTGCTTGTATTTTGTATAAATACTTACTTCTGCATTCTATCCTTGGGGCCTGCTGCTGCCACATTCCATCAGTGCACTGAAACACAATTCGTCCATGTTTTATATATCCAGGTCGACAATTGTATGTTGCTTGAGTACCATGTGGATAGGGAGGTTTGTCCCATACTTTAGTAGGCACTTCCTTAACCCTCCTAGGAGGAGGTTGTTCACAAGCTAAAAATTTCAAATAAAAATAATGGTGACTGAAGCACACGTTACAAACACCAAAACAATTTTACAATAGAAAATGTAGCACGAAATCCTGGGGACATTTGTGACCAAACCAACATAGGTTTTCTACTTAATCAACAAAATAGGAAACTGACAAGAATCCACATTTTGTAGGAACTGGAAGAGACCTTTAGAAGGACATGAAAACAGCCAAGGAAGCGCCAAGAAACCACACGGGACAGTGATGATTCATGAAACAGATTTTAGTTACAAAGAGTGAGATGAGATTAGTACCCTGGTTCTAACCACAGACACCTCCTACCCTTCCATCTGCAGGAGCTGCTCCATGCCTGTCCTTCCATTGCCACACAGAAAAACTCTGTGCACTCTGTAGAGTTTCCGTGCAAACTGTTTTCTTCTCCAGCCACCATCATCTTTACTGACATTAATTTCATGTGTCATTTGATCAAATCCTGCGAAATCTCCTCTCACCTTTACATTGCCTAAACTTTCTCTCCAGGCTCAGATCACCTGATATTCCAAAACTTATTTTCTCTTGTCAATGAGATTATGGATTACAACAAATGAGCCTGAATCAATTTTATTAAGGAGTTCCTCAACAGCTTGAGAATGAGAAAAGCCAGACTAAAGCAGAAAGAAACAAATGCTGGGAAGCTGTTAATGAAAGACTAAATGATTTTGTTAAGAAACAATTTTTTTAGTTGTTTATGATTATTGAACTAATTTCAGTGACTAATTTTCAGTGCCTGGGTGACTGAAATGTACTCATTTTGAAGGCTAAAACTTTACTCAGCGTAACAGAGTCTGAACAGTCTAGCTAATTAGACAATGACGTCTGTTTTACATCTGAATGTGAAAGGTGAGAATTCATCAAGAATAAATAAAACAACCCCTGAGAAATGAAGCCTTGGAAAAGAAATGAAATCTCTGCACAGAAAATAAACGGGAGAAGAATTATCCACCAGGGAAGGAAATTCCTTGATGAGTACAGAAGTCCTCTCACCAGTTAGCTGCAAGGCTAAAGGATTGAGAAAGCAGCAGTACTCGCACTCAAGCTTTCCTACAGGGTGTCCAGGTGATGCTTGAAAACAGGACTTCAGGAAAAATAATAAGGGATTTTTTTCCATGCGAGGGAGGCAGAGTTCCAGCTTACTGAATTACACTGCGGACATTCCAACCATGGATCAGCTAGCCTGGATTTCTAACACAAAATGAGCAGGAAAAATACTCATTCTTCCACATCAAAATGTGGAAAGTGAATTATACTTGAGTTGTGCAAAGACGCACTCTTGAGCACTCACTATTTCAGTTAGTGGAGTACCTACCAAATTAGAGGAGTAATTTAATAAAATTGTCTAAAAAGCAGGAAAAAAGGAGATTTGTTACAAGAAAAACATGAATAATTTTAAGTGTTCGGTATGACATTCTGAAAACATAAAGAAAATAATGTTAATGGTGAGGTCTAATAACTTTAGTTTGGCTGTTTTAAGTAGCCAGAGGAATTGGACAAGTTTTGGCAATACTGCTGAGGTGCTAAAGGAAGAGTTGCCCCCATGTTCATGGTTTTTCCCATTACTTTAATTAGTATGCTCCATCCTATGAACAATTACATCTGAATAAAAATTATTGCTTCTATGCACTAGAGGGTACTACCCTACTATAAAAAAAGTAGTAGGGACTTACACTTTTCTTAGCAAGATTAAGATACATTTGCCTTCTAACAACCTTTTTGTAAAATGTAGGAATAAGCAAAATGAACAGGAATCATCTAGCTAACTCCTTCAAATGAGTTAAAAATGGTTAGTTTACCCAAGAAAATTCTTTGTAATGATGAGAAAAGGAATTTTTGTAATTCCACATACTTTTTGTTAACCTCACTTAAATTAGCACTTTCAGTTTGCAAGCTGAGAAAGCACACTGAAATCTAAGATTTAAAAAACAGGTTACTGAGTACAGGGAGAGATTCTCTACTCTGTTCCTCCTTCTGAGTTGTATTATATTTTTATTGTCTATTGTGCAGACTGGGCCTCAGTTCCTCTGTCTTTACATAAAAAAACAAAAAAAAAAAGCATGAAAGATAATCTTAATTTCTTCATCATTACCAAAAAATGTTTCCTTCTGGCTTTTATATCAACTCCCTCTGTTCTTTCCCTCTCCTGCTCTGATATTGATGTTATGCATTACCATCAAATGTCAGATTTTATTTATTTATTTATGACTACAGTTAATTATTATATTTTTTTAAATGCAGTTTCTTAGTAGCTAGAGATGAAGAGATTTACTGACAGGATGTACTTCAAAACTCTATGAATTACATCATGCACTTGCCATATGTACTCACCAATACTGGAAGGGTTTTATATTTGAAAGCACACACTAAATGCATACCTTCAAATCCTTCGGTGAAAGACAAGGAGATCTGGAATAATTCATTCAGGATTTACATGTGACTTGACCTCAGTTAGAAATAGCTCAAGCTGCTTTCTTGCCATCATTATGCTGGTAGCAACTTCCACAAAGTCAAGCACAAGCTACAAATCCAAGTAGAAGTGTTTTTGCGTCCTTGAGCAAAAACCCAGCTCTTGGAACAACTCACACTCAACTTCCAGTATGAAGCTTGAACTAAGAATCCTGCATGACCCATGGTAATAGTTGTCCTGGACAAATCAAATTTTTCTACATTCACATTCTTTTGCAATCTCCCTGACCTAAATAAAGCACTGTGAAAACATAGTGCAAATTCAGGCAAACTTTGAGTTCAAGTTCCAGAACTTTTCTGGACTTCTTGGCAAACAAATTAGACTTTATTAGTTGCTTTGAGGCAGTATTTATTATAAGGATGTTTAATTAAGATAAGATATTCCTTTAATTTCCTGATTTTTTTTTAATTTTTCAAAGTAAAATCTATTGCATTGTTTTGATTAATAAGGTCTTCATAATCTTCACCCAAAATTAAAACCAACCTGAATCAAGCAAAGACACACTAGCTCAAACCCACACAGCACCCTTTCCTCAACAGTCTATGCAAAGCAAAAAACAAAACAAAACAAAAAAACCCAACAAAAAAAAAACCAACCAAAAAAAAAAAACTGAGGATAGATTCAACAATATAAATACAAATAAAGAAAAATAAATTCAATAGAGAAGCAGAAAGTGTCAGAGGCTCATGAAAAGATACACAGTATACTAGTATACATTTATCTCATTTCATTTCATAGACCAAAAACAGTCTGTCAGTCAAGACATATTTTATAAGCTTTTCAGTCAATTTAGTAATTGTTCATCTTTCTCAGATCACCTCACAGATTATTCCAGACAGAAATAAATGGATACTTATGGAATATTTTCTGGTTTATTCTACTAATTGTTTACTGGTTTTAGATGTTAGAATAATTAACAAATATAATTAATAAAAATTAGTTACCTGGTTCTAGTTTATACTGACAGTAACCTTTAAAATTTGGGCATCAGACTAATAACAGCAGTAGTTATCCAAATAAATAAATAGGTGAAGTAATACCTATGATATGATAGCAAACACTAAAGGTGCTAAATACTGCCAGAAGAAATCTCAGTCACTGTTGTCAGAAGTTCATAAAAAAGGCTACAATGCCTTTACATATTGCTTTAATTACCATCTTCACATACACTTTAAGAAAGGACTTAGATTTTCTTTCTACATGAAATCTTACCTCTTTCTGCAGAACAGTACATCCAACATAAGAGCAGAGCTGTGTAGCCCAGGAACAACATTCTAGAGATTCAAACTCATCCAACACATTCAGTATTGCACCCTATTTTTTTTATTACTTTGTGTTATTTCCACTCCTATTTTACTCATTAACTGTTCCAAAGACTGACCTTGCAAACCATTTATACTCTGGTTTCAGCAGTCACTTCCCCTAAACCTCTTGCAACACACAAGTATTTCTTTTTTTTTTTTGTTCTCTCTAAACCTTGCTAAATGAATAAATAAATAAAAGCCTGGCAACTTAGGTTGACACATTCCTTTCCTATGATCTGCTTGTTTTTACATCATAGTTTTTTCTTTTTATTTTTTTTTCTCTTCAGATTTATTCCCTACATACTCATATAAGGTTCTTTTTTTAGTATCTAAAAGCAGTTGTACAAATAAATTATTTTGTGATACTTGGTGTGTTGTTTGCTTAGTTAGAAAACACATTAAATGTGTGTAAAAACGAACTTCTCTACACATATAATTCAAGACCTATGTTGAAAACAACCAAAATAAAAGGCAGTAAAAAATATAAAGTGATTTACTGGTCACTCACTGTTTCTTATATAAGAGAACCAACTGCCCAGAGCAAAGGAAATGTACTTGATCAAATTCTTGTTCAATAAACCTAGGTGATGCTGAAACACTTGTTTCAGTATCACATGAGAAATAAGATTGAGAAGATGTGAATAAATTGTAAGATAGATAATGAACTTTCCACAGAGAAATATAAAGACTATGCAAAAAGAACTATATGCAAAAAGAACTGGGCTAACAGAGGAACCTGTCACGGATTCACGTAAACAACAGTCTTAATTAATAGTTTCAGGATATGCCTTGGCTTTATAAGTGCAGACCACTGGAAATGTAGATCGTTTGAAGAGAAATATTTGAGACTGAGAATTAGGGAAAAAATATGTAACACTACAAGGTGCTCATATGAGATGGACACAAACAGGTGCAGACCAGGTACCCCACAGTAGTGATGTCTGACTGGCATGGAGTATACACAGATTAGTCTTGTATATGCTCCCAAAAAACACATAACACATCCTTAAAATTACTGTCTTAGTTAGTGTACTGCTATAGAATAAAAGTAATGTGTCTACAGAACAGATCTCAAATAAAATTTGAATCCCAAAGCATTTAAAGCAGTTAAAACTTCTTGTCTTCTTAAAATGTAGCTGAATTTTTTTTTTTTTTAACTTGGGCTGTGTATTCAGTCCCCAATTCTAAGAAATGGTTTAGTGAAAACTGGCATTTGGCTGTTTCACCCACAAGAACTCTTCAGAGAGCATAATATCTCTTCCTTTCCCTCCCCCTACCCTAGACAAATGACTCATATGTGGAAAATGAACTCTCACCCTGCTCCATGACTCTGTGATGATCGATCTGCATCCATTTTGCAGTTACTCGTGAATATCTGACCACTGAAAAGATATTTTTTGCACCTGTCATAGTCGAGCTCCAAGAAAACAGCTCCTCATAGAACTTCACTGCCCAAATCTATAGTTCCTTTTGTTCTGTGGTACAGAAGCTTGTGCTGCTGCAGACAGACGTGCTCTAAGAGCACCAGGACAGCCCCACTTGTCCCTCTGCACCAATCTTACCACATTACCATAGGTGTCTGTATTCATATGCTTCTGTACCTGTGCAAAATCTTGCAGCATCCTGTAGTGGTGAGGAACTAAGGATGGTTTAACCTTCCCTGTCACAGCAGCACAGTGACACTGCTGCTTTCCAATTCCTTAACTGCTGTGGGAAGCTCAGAGAACCGGAAAAACACTGAGACAGAGTTTAAAAGGCTTGGATTCCAACCCAGATACAGTGGCTCAAACCAATTAGCTGTAAAAATCCATGCAGGAGGCATGGGTTCTATAATTTCTGCAATTTTAAACGTTGTATCTTCTAATGTCATGAAGCTCTAACTGCTTTGGGTCTTATCAAACTGCTTTTGGGTCATTAAACCACTTGCCAAATAAGTGTGCGCTTGAAACACAGTCAAAGATAACTTCAATCACAGCTGAACCAAAACTGGAATTGAAATGGTACCTTAACTTTCCTGACTGCTCCCTACAAATACAGGCAATGTTAAAACTCTTTGAGCATCAGCACGCAAAACTAGACAGATACAGAACTCCTATGAATAAATTTCAGCTAAAAATTAGAAGACTCACCTAACACAGTGAACTAATATTTGTATGGACATAATGGAGGCCTATACAAACAAACCATCTTCAGTCACAAAGCAAGGGACCAGACTCAGTCTCTTCCAGTCTTGTGTTTGTGATTTTAAACCATTGACTAAAATTACCCTAACCAAATGTAAATAAAATCAGGAACCTAAACTTGCTTTCGTTCCTCACCTCTTCCACGGGCTATCAAATTAAAACTAATGTTTTTTGTTGTGTCTGACTTTGTTTAGTCATCTCCAGCCTCTAACAAAACAGAGTGCACAGGCAAACTGTGCCTCAGGACCTCTAAGGCAGGCTAGAGTACCTTTACTTCCTACTCACAAAAAAAAAAAAAAAAAAAAAAAAAAAAAAAAAAAAAAAAAAAAAAAAAAAAAAAAAAAAAAAAAAAAAAAAAAAAAAAAAAAAAAAAAAAAAAAAAAAAAAAAAAAAAAAAAAAAAAAAAAAAAAAAAAAAAAAAAAAAAAAAAAAAAAAAAAAAGCAGAAATGTCTAAGTAGTTATGCAGCCAAAGACAGCTGGATTTTATCTAAGGAAGCAGAGCTATTGCTTTGAGAACTGGCATCACCACACTCAAATATTGCCACAGACACAGCCAGACAGCCAAAATATCACCACCAGAGAAAATATCACCATGAGAAAAACTGCATGTCAAGCTATTACATCATAGGAAAGTACAAGTCAGAAGGGACCTCAGGAAGTTATCTTGTCCAATACTCCTGCGCAAGTAGAATCAGTGCAAGGTCAGAATGAGTTATTCAAGTCTTTGTTCATTCCCTGCTCAATCTGGAGGCTTAACATCAAAATTCAGAGTGTTTGTTCAAACCTGAGTAACTTTGAGAACAGTGTTTGGAAGTCATTTTGTGTTAGGAAGACATATCTGAAGAAGTCAGTGTATTCCATAGGGAACTAATGATGACTAGTAATAGAAGCTTAATTAGCCACTGCCAAAATAGCATCTCTGACCAGTATAATTTCAGCATGTTCTAACAGCATGCTTCCTGTTACACTTGAGTTTAATGATATCCCACAGAGCCCACAGAAAATTCTAGAACCAGTCACTGCTTTGCCCAAAAATTTTCATGAAAATGTGCTATCCCACTGTATTAATAGTGAGATTATCTTTTCATTGTCAACATTTGCCTCTTCTTCCAGTGTCACATAATTTATAACTCCTAATGGCATTTCACACCACATAGTATCTACAATAATCTAATCTAAAGGTGTGAAGTAAACTGCACAGTTTACTTAGTTTAAACCAAAGCAAAGTCAAACTGGTTTACTTAGTTTAAACCAAAGCAAAGTCAAACTGGTTTATATATTTATTAATAGAACATAATTAACTGGCAATCAGTGGGATATACATTCAGCTTCCATATCAGAAATACATCAGACAAGGCACGGTTAATAGACAAAATGGTAATAAGCACCTAACAAATTTCTAAAGAACCTTTCTTCACTAATCTCCCAAAGTTTTAACCATCCACACAAAGTTGTGCACCACCCACCCATGGTAATACACACAGTCTACCTCTCACCCACACCTCCTGTAGGAGCTGTGGGTTCTTAACGTGTACCTGTGCACCTTACAGCCTGCTAATGCACACGCCGAGGAAGAAGCACCACCCAAGATACTACACTTACACCTGTGATAGGTGAAGACACCGGGTTTTTATTCCAAGCAAATTAAAATAAAAGGGAGGTACTAACAAAAAACTATTTCTGTATATTTACTAACTTCTAGGC